TCTGAAGGAAGTTCAAGCCATTGGTGAGAAGTTTCTCCTCAAGCTCCAGAAACTGCCCAAGGCTGAGCCAGTGGAGATTGTCAGCTTTTCTGTGGTTCTTCTGTTTATTGGTGAGTTTGTGGGTGGAGGCAAAGGGGTGTCAGAATTTCTCTCCTCTCCTATGGGGGCAACTTGCTCCTCAGGCTGTGTAGGAGGGTTGGTGGTGTTGGCTGTTGTATTCTAGGCTGTGCTCTAAGGCCCAGGTTAATTCCTAGGTAATTTTTACCATTCAGTGTGTACCTCTACATGGTTGCAGAGCATGACAGGTAACAGCATAGCTTTCCCCAAAAGCTCCCTTTTTAAACATTAGTTAAATCAGCAATATTTTAACCAACCCAGAGCTGCTGTAATGTTTTGATGCATAGGAGATAGTTTATGACAAATGGTCCTAGAGCATCTCCCTGCCACAGAAGACACTTAAGAGGGGCTCTGAGTGTCATTTCTGTATTGGCTCAGTGAATTCAGATGAGTCTATTTATTCTCCTCTGGTAATGGCAAAATCCCTCCTGCTGCTCTGTGTGGGGATGGCATGGAAGGAGTAACAACTGGATCAAGAACTGTTGGGTCAAGGAGGATGAAGTTTGTTTATACAATGGGAAAATAAGCAGGAAGGAAGACAGGCCCTGCTCCTGGCCAAAAGGAAGGGTGTGTATTCAGCTGGACACTCCTCCCTGGGCTGGAATTCACAATGTCACACCTGCTGCTTTATTTGGTTCATCCCTACAGCTGGTTCCCCACAGGTCAGGTTACCTGGCAGCCCAGGTCCAGGCTTTAAAGGAACACAGGCACACACAAAGGCATGCTCACATTCTTACATGTTCTGCAGGATGGAACATGTCATCCTTTTCTACTCCAGATAAACTAACACATCTCTGCCAACACCTGCCATCCTGGCTAGAGTAGAGGACAGTCAGTTAGCCCACTGTTCTCTGAAATGAACCCTTGCATTTGAAGTATCTTATTTTTTCAAGCTAAATACAGAAGAGTAAAGCCAACCCAGTCACAAGTCTCTATGCTTAAAGAGTGTGCTGAACTCACTCTTCAGAATTACAACTGCCAGTTTGAGCAATCAAACTCCCTTAAGTCTGGTTACTCAAAAATCCAAAACTGGATTTTTGTCCTTTCCAGGCACATGGGCTGTGCTTAGGTACTGCATGTCAGCTCCCAAACAACAGCCCATTAAGTGGGTAAAGAAACCCTCACATGGTTTGGAATGTAGCTCTTAAGGTCTTGAAATGCCTGGTAATGATTGTCCAGATTAAATGGAAAACCAATACTGTTGTGGTGTGTTTTTAGCTTCCGGGTCCCTTTCTCAGGTGTGCCAATATTCCCTTCTCCCTTCCCCCTCGCCCCTTGCTGAGTGTGCCCTGTCAATCAGGCTAACATACCAGCAAGGGGTCGTGTGGTTGGTCGATTTCAAAGGATGCTCCTCAGGCCTGGGGGACATTGGCCCCTATAGGTGTCCCCAGTCCCTTGAGACCCTGCCCCTTCACCTGGTTGGTGGCTCACCTGTCCCCTCCCCTTCCCCTGTCCCCGAGCTTAAAACGTTAATCAGACCATGCGGCCTCCATTCTGTTGGAGCAGTTGCCCCGGTTCAGACCTCTGTAACCATGGAATAAACATCTGGATATAACCCTCCAGCAGAATCCTCTCCTTTTTCTCTTCACCATCGCCAGAAGCTCTCTCTCCTGAGGTAAACGGAGTTCCTGACAAGCCTGGACTTGCTCAGTGTCCTGCTGCACTCTCCAGCAGCCGAGGTATCTCTGGGGTAAAGCACCACAGTGCTGCCTTTGGCCCAGCAGCGAGGGTCACACTGACCCAGGCACCATCTAACTGGTTATATTGGGATACCTATTCCAATACAATACAAAGGAACAGGAACTTAGGAGGAGGAAGATGGGGATATAGGGCAAAAAAAGAATTCTCAAGAAACCAGATTTTGCTCATTTTGCTGCTCACCAAACAACCTGGAGGAGACATAGGGTTACTCTGCAGTAGGAGGAGGAGACACAGGGTTACTCTGATTGTTCCTGTGCTGTGAAGCAATGGCATTTGTTTCTCTCTGCAGTTACTGTGCTGGTGCTCACGATCATTGCCTGCAGTTGCTGCTGCTGTGGCTGCGATGGACGCCCTGAGCCCAGACGCAAGAGCCAAGTCAGCCCAGCTGCCCATTCCTGAAGGGACACAGCCTGCTATGCAGGACACACATGGACATCAGCATCAGTGCTATGGGAATGGCTTTCCACACTAGCCCACTGAAAATGGCAATAACAAGATTAATGAACACGACTCAAAGGACCAGAAATCACAGCATGGAGTTCCTTCTCTCTGTGACAGCCACTGCTGTGACAAGGAAGGTAAAGCTCCTTTACCATCACTGTGTCCCTCTTCTGGGCTGGGATGGGGTGGGAGGACATGGACACAGATTGCTGAGAAGAGAGAGAGCTTTCCCAAGGATGAGGATCCCCCCATGGACACGGAGCCATGGAGCAAAGCAGAGGCCACGCACACAGCCACACACGGGGCACTGCCTGCCCTCCTCACCACAAGGATGGTACTGGGCATTAGCAAAACCCACTGGCACCACTGGGAGGTCCAATTGCTCAGGTCATCGTGGATCAAGGCCAAACTTGCTCCAGAAGACACGTTTAGCTGAGATATCTGCTGGAAAGAACAAATGGTGGACCCTCTCATCCAGATGTGCCAGCTGAGGCTCTGAGTACAGCTGGTGTCATTTCATTGGTGATGTGATGATGGGAAATTGCCAAAGAAGAAAACAGATCATGTGGAATACTCTTTGTAAATAGATAGATGATGGCAAAAGGGAAAAACTCACCAATCCTATGGCTTATTTTGATCATTCTCTGTTCAACATGCTCCCTCCCCACCCCTGTGGTTTCCACTCTTCTGCCTATTGCAGATGAATGGCTCTTGCAGAGCATGGGAGCTCCAGAAGATGAACAAATCCCAGTCCTTACTTGAGGGATCTCTGTGCCTGACTCTCTGCACTGTGTGCAGTTTATTTTAGTAGCCATGAACATGATGCCAAGGGTGTGTTTATGAGCAAGCACAGAGGCATTTCAGAGGAGTGACACATGATGGGAGCCATCACTTCAGGGTATGTGCACAGCAGCTGACAGCGGGCACTGTGACAGAGCAGAGCCCAGAATGGGCTGCTGGGCTGGAGTTAACAAGTGCAAATAAATCCCTCTTCCATGCTGCAGCCTCTGTGCATGTCTGGTTTGCACTCCGGTGAACTTCCGAAAGGGATTTACTGACACAAGGCTGAGGCCACCGCTGCCACAGCTGGCACAGCACAGCAAGGCCACAATTCTGCACTAAGCTCTGAACCACTGGTGTCTCAGCACCAAATGGGAGACCAGCCACCTTTGTGAGAAGGTAGAAACAATTACATGAATATAGAGATGTCATCTTTTTTGCCTCTGTATCCCAACTAAGGGTATGTACCAAAGCCAACATCTAGCTATGGAGAACAGAATCATCAAGGTTTTAACAGTGGGCTTTAAAATACTCTTTACACTTCAGGAGTTACAGAAAAATAAAGAAGTCACTGTATAGAAATGTATTTTCTCTGTTGCCTGCACCCATATTAGTAAAAGGCACATTACTTCAGCTTCTTATGTATTTAATGCACTTTATTTTTTGCCAACAAACCGGATCTAGGTATTTGGTATTTTTGTATTGCTGCACATTGGAATATATCTGCAGCCAGAGACATAGTCTAAGAGTTAGAAGAAAAATAAAATTCCTAAAACTACCAGTGTTACTTTTAAATTAATAAAAAGAAAAACTCTCCAGTTGAAAATGAGGATGTTCTTTAGAAATAAATATCTGAGATTCAGCATGACAACCGCCCAGAGCAGACTGAACTAATGTGAGTTACTGCATGCACAGTTACACTGAGACAACAAAGTGTAAAAAAAAAAGAAAAAAAATTATTAGGCTGTCCCAAAGCTTTCACTGCCAACCAACATGTTAGGGGGAAACAATCTCAAGCATGGCATCAATTTAAACATTCAGAGGTGCATCACACCAGCCTCCTGTCACATAAGTGTTTGCTCATTTCACTCACAAATGAGTGGCAAAGTGACATCGGGAGCCTCAGAATCTCTTTTGCAGAAACAGACTCAACAGATGTTTTTGTATCTAGATTAAGTCACGAGACGCAGGGAAGAACAGAGCTCACTTTCTTTGCAGGCTTGTGCTAGACAGTGCCAGCTGCAGACATGAACAGCATCCCATTGGGGGCTGTTCCAGCAGCACAGAGCCAGCCTGTGCAAAGACAGAGGGAAGCTTGGCAGGCTGGACACACACCAAGGGCTGACAGGTTGCTGTCACTGGGAACAAGCTGCCAGGCCTTATCTCAACAGGAAAAGCCACAAATGCATGTTTCCCAGTGGTGGTACAAGTTAAACCACTGACAGATACCAGGCAGAGGAACAAGAGAAATGGCTCCTGTCTTATCTCAGCCACTGCAAGTTCCTGAATTAGAAACAGAATAAACACAGCAGTGTTAAAAAAAAAGGGAAGGAAAGAAAAACAGGCAATCCTCTAAAGCATCCAGGTGGCTTTCTGGAGCAGAGGACCAGCTACCACGTAGAGGGGGTCAGTTTCTACACACTTGTTTGGACCTCACAGGCCTAATGTTCTGATGTTCTATTTTGTCCCACTGCACTCAGCTGAACTATTCCTACAGCTGGACTCAGACATGCCATGCTTGATCTGCTGCTTTCTTGCATGCATTCAGGGTAGCCTGAAAGATGCCAGCAAGTGCCCAGCTTCCTGCAGCTCTTCAGCTTCTGCTGACTACAAACCTGCTGGTCCCTGGGTCCCTGCTCAGCACTCACACAAACTTTTGTGTTTTGGCTTCGATCAGTACTGAAATACAGACACCTACAGGGAGCAGCAGTGAGGATGGATCCTCTTGTTTCAACCTGCAGAGGGAAATTCAGAAAAGCACAAAATAAGGCAAAGCTGCTTCTAACACAGCAACTGCCATTCATATTGTGAAAGCCTAGGAGGAACTGCATTGGAATACATTACTTCAGTTGTGAAGATAAAAAGTGTTGAAATTGTTTCTTTCCCTGAGGAACCTCAAAGAGCCAGCAAGGCCAACCCCTCCAGCAGAAGTGGTTGAAGTTCTACTAATGACTTAATGGAATAGCTTCTGTTCTGTAACATTATCCCTCTGGTTTGCTTGGCTTATGAAAAATAAGTTTCCTTTTACACAGGCAGCGTAAAAGTAAGTTTCCTTATTTTTCACAGGCTTGTGAAAAATAAGTTTCCTTTTACATACAGGCAGTGTCACACACCACACTCCTCCTTCTGCCCTCCCTTCTCTCTCCAGCACCATCCCTCTGTCCTTCTCCAGTCAGGAAAGTGATAGAGAGTTTTATTGCAGCTCACATCAGTGCAATGCTCTAGAATGGGTTTATTCACCTGAACTGTCACAGTGAATTTTGGACTGCAGGGCAATCCTGTTCAGTCTCACTCCAGTCTCCTGCTGGAGCTTGCAACACAGATCCAGTTGGGATCCAGGAAACACAGCTCTCTTCTCTCCACCACATCCTGCAGCCTGCCCCAGACAGAGGCCACAGTGGGCCTTTACAAGCCCTGCCACAGCTGTAGGACTGGGTAAAGCCATGAAGAGGAAAAAATGTCTGAGGAACAGCTGAAATAGGACTTCTAAGCTGGGTTCAAGGCCTTTGATTTGATTAGATTAGCCACACCTTTGCAGGAATTAATCAGCTGTTAATCATTTACTTCAGCCCAAAGAGGAAACGTCCAGGTTACCTCTACAAGTCTCCAGGTACAGCAAGGGGTCCCCTCACCACAGGCCAAGATCTCTTGGAGGAGTGAAGAGGAGGCAACAGAGGAAACACCTACTACAAACCACAACAGCTTCAGGTATTTATAAAATGTCATACAGCTCTCCTTTCTGGGAGGTGAACTGCACTTAGCACAAGAGACAGGAACTTCCTGGGGGATGCAGTCCCACGGGATTTCTGCCTTTGGGTCTAAGGAATTTATATCTAGGCTGCCTCATTCTTGAAGGCAAAGGAATCCAGAACAGCTTTGATGTCCTGTGGGCTGGTTGGTTAAAGGCTGAGCACAGTGATCTGCCATCTACCCAGAAAACAAACCATTAACTGAATAAATCTGGCTGTTGAGAAAAAAACAAAAACTTCAGCAAGTGTGAGTTTGTGCTTCAACTCAAATCCAGCCTGCTGAGCATGAAACACTTTACAGGAGTAATTCTTCTTCTTAGAGTATGCAGGATACAGACATAAGAGGCAGCAAATCAAGCAAATTTTCAAAAAGAACCTGTAGCTCTTCCTGTATTACATATGCATAATCACATTTGCAAGAAAGTGTGAGAAATATTCCATCATTTCCCTTGAGAAGCAGAGAAGCTTTAGTAAAACCACAAGATGCTCAGTAAGAGATGCTGGATGTTCTTTAGAAAGCTGACAGTGAAGTCATTATTCAAAGTGTCAGTGAAAGAGCAAGTGAGTAGAAGCCACTGAGATCCCAGTTTAAATTATTACTGGACCTCCTTGTGGGAGGAAAATTTATGCTTTTATTGCAGAGTAACAGAAACCATTACTAAAGCAAACTTCATTAGCAAGAGTTTAATATAAAATTAGGACACCCTTATTAACATATTTGGACTATTCTAAGCCCTATGGAAGAAACAAGTTGTACATGATCCTTGCTTATTATTGGTGGGGTTTTTTGCTTGATTTTTTTAAAGTAAGTGTTTCTTTAATCTCCATTGTGACCTCAGAGTTTAAGCCCCCAACTCTCCCTTTTAGAAATCCCTGCAATGGTATCAAGGAATTTCTCCCACTGAATACTTGTTTTTCATGTATAGGCTGTACAGCTGACACAGAGTTCATATTGCACATGCTGGAGAGACTGTATTATTGAGAATATTGATAAGCTATGATTAAAATAAATCTCAACAGATTGCTGTAGAGCAAGCAGCTTTTCCTCTTTAAATCTTTGTAGATCTGATTGTTAAACCAGTCTCAGCTGGATTTCTTCTGGTTTATGCTCCCATTTCTGTGAAGGGTGACCCTCCTTTTGGAGGGGGATGCCTGCAGGCACAGACACCATGCACACCTGCACTGGTTTTGGGGCTGAGGGCATGGAGAGAATACAAGACCTGACCCTGTTGTTGTCTGTCCCCAGCAGGGTGCAAGCCAGCATGTCACTAGAGCAAGAGGCATCCTCAGAGCTGCAAGACCTAAAGAGCCTGATTGCAACAAGTGGTTGGGCTCTTGGAGGGCTGGTGGTGATTGTCATCTTCTGCTCTGTTTTTATTGCTCTCATTTTGTTTGCTGCTATCTTTGGGTGCTGCACATCTCCAAGGCACAGACGGGGTGGCTCATAGCCAGCAAAGTGGGGACACAGAACTTGGTACAGCTGAGCAAGAACCAGCCTGGGTACAACCTGATTGTGTTGTTCACAGAAAACTCTCACCTCACTCCCTGCGTGGTTGTTTCTCTTCATGCAACTTCCCTGCATCAAGAACAATGTCCCAGTGGCAGCAAGTTGTTCTGCAGGCCACAGCAAACTCACTACATGAGGCTGTCTGGATTCAGGAACCGCAACATTCAGCGAATACCAAAGTAAACTCGTCTCTGATTTTCATCTTTCAACCAAAACCACCAACTAGAGGTGGCAAATGGTCAGCCACCACCTAAATCTGATAAAGATGTGTTCTGCTGCTGCAGCTACGTGTGTTGGGAGGGGGGGTTTCATCTTGTAAAAGGGCAGTAGGAAACTCTGGCCCTGAAAGCTTTGAACCCACTCTCTAAAAGCAGCTTAGACCATTGTTCTCCTGTCATACTCAGGCCTAAATACACTATGCAAAAACTTACTTGCCAGTACACAGTCTGTCTTTATTTGTTCTTATTTATTACCTTGCAAGGTCACAGTTTGAGGTTTGCTTTCACTGTTTAGATAGTGAGTAGAACTTTATTAATTCAATATGTAAAAAAGAAATGCAACGTGGCTTTGCTTCCCACAGCACCTCAGTCACCTGCAGAGTTATGAGCAGGGAAGCCAAGCAGGGGTGCTGCACTGTGGGACTCTGGGGTGCACACCCCATGATTTGCAGTTGGAAGAGTGGATCAAGCTGGGTAAGGGAAGAAAAAGTCTGGGAGGGGTGATTTCTGATTAAGTCAGTGATATTCCCTTACTCAGACTATTACTTTGAGGGTGGTGAGATATTGGGACAGGTTGGCCAGAGAAGTTATGGATGCCCCATCCCTTGGAAGGCCAGGTAGGATGGGGCTTGGAGCAACCTGGCCTAAGGGAAAGTGTCCCTGTCCATGGCAGGGGGTTGAACTAGGTCATCTTAAAGGTTTCTTCCAACCCAAACCATTCTATGATTATACAAAAGTCAGCCACTACAGCCATCTGTGATCTGGGGCAGAGCTCCTCAGATGTGGATCAAATTCTTAGGAAAAGAAGTCTCCCAGCAGCTACTTCACAGCATCACCCTGACTTTGGACAAAGAAGTGCCCCTTTGAGTGCCCCAGGGCTCAGTGCTGTGCCACACTTCACTACAAACAAGACCATCCCATAAACCCAGGATTTGTTTACCAAACATGACAAAAAGAGAACACTCTCACCAAGGCACCAGAAAAGCAGCATGTATTACATTCATGCTGAAAAAGCTGTTCCAGACCCACATGTGAAAAATGAAACAAAATGAAGAACTTGTAAGCATGACACACAAAGATCATTTTCAGTTAGTGCACATATACTGCTCTCTTCTTGGCAAAATTACAGCTTTGGTGTCTGACCCAGCATAGAACAGCAATTAGTACAATTACAGCATGCAGAGCATGAACTAAACCTGAACAAGGCATGTTGTGGTTGCTAGTCTGCATTTAGATTGGGCACATCCACAATGAGCCTGTTTCTGAAACATTCTAAGCCCCACCAAGTCGTTCTAAGGTCAGTGAGAATCACAGACACTGCAGAGTGGAGATGCTGAGATTTACAGAGACATTAAATCCAAATGCTTCCATCCTATGGCTCTCTGCCCCCTTAGGAGAGGAGTGAAGGAGGAGAGTCAAAACAAAAGCAAATGCAACAAAGTCAACCCATGATCAAAGATGGAATATTGTAAAATGTATCACCAGAGAAGTTAAACATCCTCCTGACTTGGTCAGACTCCAAAACCAAGGTCTCAGTTAGCTCAGAGGTGGGAGTGTTAAGAGGTTTCTCAGGGACACGTGCAGCATCTCAGCCATAACAGTTTCTTGGAAGAACAGGGCATGTTTTCCCCAGCACTAACAGTGGTCTGTGAAAGAAATGCACTCACCCCAGCTCCTCACAGAAGTTCACAATGGCATCAAAAGCTGTCATCACAGCTTTGTCAGACTCTTTTAAGGTGCCTTTTTTTTCCTGAAAGTAGATGGGATAAGGAACTGTAGTCTTCAATGTAAATTTACACAGAGTAACTCTAGCAATGATCAAATCCAACCCTTCTGAGCTACATGGCAAACAGCTACAGACATCTCCCTGTCTCTGCTCTATTCCCCTGGCTCTGGCAGCCTTTTCCTTCCCTGCCTCCCTTCCTTCTGCTAGCCCTTGAAATGGGGCTCCACACAGCTCTAGACTCAGAACATTTCATTTCATCTCTTCCTATTCAGAGGTTACTGCAGGCAAAGCAGAGCAGAGCAAGGCAGGGTGATGCAGGCAGGTGGGTACAGTTCTGCAGCTCTCACCTGGATGTTAGAGAGCTCCTTCTTGATCAGGAAGCTGACTTGATCCCTGTCATTCCTTGAGTAATAAAGGCGACAGCAGGATGGTTTTCCATCCCTCCCAGCTCTGCCAGACTCCTGGTAATACCCAGCCATTGACTTGGCAATATTCCAGTGGGCAACAAATCTGCAAGGGGTAAAACAGGGAACGTGAGGCTGCAGGTTTCTCAGAGACTGGTGTCTGTGGGCATCAACAACAGCAAAAAACAGGGCAGAAAACATAAAATAAGAGTGAACACAGCAAGAGAATTTGCACACTGAAGTTTTAGTCCTCTTAACACACAAGACATGGAAAACAGCAGAGCTGTAAGAAAACAAATGCACCTGGGCAGCATGTGGGCAGGATGCCACTCCACATGGATAAAAAAGAATGAGCATTTGAATATCCCAAACATGCAAACAACTGTGCAGCTATGAAGACTGGGAATAAGAACACTGAATTCAATAGTTTGGGAGATTTTACCAATATAAATACCAATTATAAAATACAGCATTAATAGAAAAGTCATATTTATTTTGTGGGACACAACTGCACCATTACAAAACACATTTTTAAATACCTTCTTTTAAAAAGACATTTAGCCAAAATCTCCATGGGAAATTCCACCTCACTGTGCTTCTCAGATGAAGACAACCTTCCTAACCAAAAAATATGACTACAGAATCATTACTAAATTTTATGTAATCTCTGCAGGAAGGCTTTCAACACAGCACTGCAAGACTGCTTTAAACCTGCTTGTACCTGACTATTCAGCAATGCAGCTTATACCTGTTTTGGGAGGATTGCACAGCAATGCTGCCAATGTTTTCAAGTCTGCCTCAAAGCCAGCATGACCCAAGGGCAGGTATGATGCATATGGGTGTAGCTAAAGATTAAATGACAAAAGCAAGCAAATGTGTTTCTTCAAACACAAACAGCCCAGGAACAGGCCAAGCAGGAAGCATCAGAGCCCTACACATTTAAACCCCACCAGGAAGTTTGCTGAAGAAATTGATAGATAATTTTAAGCAGAACTGAATTAACAGTGAAGACAGAGGAGCAGATTCCATCAGAATAAAAAGGGACACCACCTCTGTTTTCCCTTTTGTCCAGAAGAGTCACCTCCACAAGTTGTCAGACCTGATCTGATTTGGTAACATATCCATGAATACTCAGAAATCTGCCAGCACAGAGCAAAGCTAAGCAGCAGTGCCTTGTTAACTAGGCTTGGGTATAATGTTCTTTTAAGTTATTTTTAAAAATCCTGTAAAGAGTCGTTTTAACTCTTGTAAGGTAACCAGATTACAAGCATATTTCAGCTATATTTCACTTTCAGTTACTCTCTGCCTTTTTTGATGACCACTGGACAGGACAGAGGGCTTCAGCAGGTCATTAATTCATGTCCGAGGAGACTCCTCACTTCTCTGTTTGGAAAGATGCACCAAGGAGTACAATTGTCACTGCTATGGCCCTGTTTCCTGGCAGCACAGTGACAAAGGCTGGCACAGTTGTGAACTGATGGGATTGGCTCAGTGATATCCTGCCCTTCTCTCACAGTATTCAGAGAAGCTTCTGTATGTGGATTTTAGAGATCAGGTCAGTTGTGGGTGTTGTCTGAGCTGCACCTGAATTTTCCCTCCAGTAAGTACTCACAATAATAACTCAGCACAGCCATATTGCAGGGCAGGAATTCCAACCCAGAGCCCTTATGGGGACAGCAATCTCAGAGGAACAGCAAACCATGTGCAAAGTTTCTGTCCTTGGACCAGAGCTGTATTTTTATATGGTTACTGCCATTTGTGAAGGGCTATTTTTTCCCTATTGCAATGCAAGAGATCTCCAAAAAAAGCTGGCTCTGACTATTTTAATAGAGGGTGGGTGAATTATTTTAGGTGCAGATTTTCTTTCCACTGCTTTTAGACAGCAACTATTGCACTGAGAGAAGTGAAAGAGACAGCTGTGATTGCACTGAGAGGGCTCTTTCTGAAACCCTAGAGGGTGTGGCAGAAAAGCATTCCTCCCATTTTCTTGATTTTAAGGCTGACTGGCAAAGAGCAGCTCTGCTGCCTTGTGTTTAATGTTTTTACAAAGCCTTCCCAAAGGTTTGCTTTTGCTGCTTTCAAGATAAAAAACTTCCAGCACTGGTATTGTTGCTTTAAGCAAGTGTTCATCACTTCAGGCAGTTGAGTCAGGTGGGTTAGGTAACAGAGCCTGAGACTTTTCCTTCCCCCTGCTCAGGTTTCAGTCTCTGATGGTGCACAGCACTCAGCCTCACACACCTGACATTGCCTTTGTCTACTCCCATTCCAAAACTGATGGTTGCAACAATGACAGGGATCTTCTCCTCCATCCATTCATTCTGGACAGAACTCCTGTCAGCTGCCTTGAGCCCTGGGAAGGAAAAGAAAAGAAAGTAAACAACAGCACAAAAAACCAGACCAAAACAAACAAACAAACCCCAACCCCCCAAAAGAAAAGTAAACCAACAAAGAAACCCATCAAACAAAACAAACCCCACCCCAAAAAAAAGAAGGAAAGAAACAAGAGGATTTTCCTTCTCATCCATTGCCCCATTGCAGGCAAACTCCCTCACTAAAACTGTCTGATGTACACACTCTTTTCTTCCCAGTGTTTGAACTGGCCTGGGACCAAGCAGAAGTCAGCAGCAGCTGGTTTTATTCCAGAGAAAAACATCTAGCTCCCCACCCAGGATAAAAGCAGTTGTTATATTCAGGCCATGAAAGATCCAACAAAACCAACAGTTCTGGAGACAAGGGAATGCCATTGTGGTGAGGGCCTGCCCTTACCTCACAGACCTGATGTGTGAGCATCACACAGAGTGCAGAGCAGGCCTAGAAAGCTCTTTTCTAGGTAGCCCCAAGCCAGGTGGCAGAGTTCAGTTCTCCCAGCCAGTGAGAGATGCAGACTGCAGTACCTGCATGGTAGGCCTTGGCCTTCAGCCCTCTGTAGCTCAGCTCAATGGCCAGCTGGTCACACACATCCCTCATCCTGCAGTACACGATGCCACAGCCGGAGTACACCTGGGAGCCAGGAGACAGAGCCAGGACAGGGCCTCAGTCAAACAACTGAGCTGCAAGTACAGCCCCTCATCCTCTCCCATCTCACAAGAAGC